CTTTTCAGACAGCTTAACTTTATTATATTCTGTGCAATGCAAATCATCTAAGCCAGAATTGTTTTCTGATCTGCAGACAATCACAGAAATAATGTAATGGGGCACACGCATATTCGACTATTAAGAATGAGACATCATGAGCTAATCAAGCCTCAGTTGAATGCGAGGCTATAATTTATATCCAATTGATAATGCTCTGTCAAGATTCCCAGTGCTTCACTTTAAGGTTGTGTTAAAATGTGAGCAAGAACAGTTATATCTAATATTTTTCTTATTTGTTTGTATCACTTTCGGAGAGCCTAAAAGGACATATACCTGTATGTTATGTGTTCGTTCAGCAGCACCCTTAGCCAGTAAAACATAGATAGCATTTGCTTTGGTCTTGCCTTTAGCTGAGAAATGCTAGGACGCTAGGATTCTTAACACAGGACTTGGCTGATTAAAGATTTCTACAACTCACATTAGTTTATAGATTTCGATTTTCACGAATAATTGGAGTACAACTGCCCAAATACAGAAGCCACCCTCGTAAGACACAAGTAACAATACACTGCACATCTGTATCAGCCACTCGAGGGCCAATGGTTCAAATGGCCATGTTTTTTTTTTTTTTTTTTTTTCAAATAATTATTGCCAACATGTGCTCAAGTACAGATTTAAATATAAAAGTTAACATTATGGAAGCGTGTGCAATGCTATTATGCATGTGGTTTTATGACATTATATGCTCATCGTTGTCTGAAGAATGATCAACACATTACTAATAACATAGCTGGGAAGATTCCCCATGTTTCAGTATCATTTGTAGCTGAGATCTGTATAATTTGATCATTGCATTTTTTTCATGCAATTTTTAATATTCGATGGACACAGTTGACACTACTCGTGCACGCTCACAATAATTTTGATGTCCAGAGGTTATAAGACACTGTAGCAGATAGATTCAAGCACTTCAACATCTTCCCTCAAAATAAAAGACTTTCTACCCCAAATGGCTACTTTCCACATTCGATCGAATAGTTTTCCATCTCAGTCACACCCGACTGCAAAAGACGTTGAAGGTCACTTGGAGAGGCTAAAGGCCTCACAAGCCGCATCAACGTCTTCCATTTGCAAAAACTTAGCTAGCCTTAAAGATTTACACAAGGGAATCAATGATATGATCCAGACGCCTTCAATCCAACAAGAGCTTGCCCACCTACAAAATGAAAATTGGACAAATGAGTTGCTCGAGGGATCTCTAAGGCTAGTCGATCTCTGTGGGTTTTCAAGAGATGTTTTGTGTTTGACCAAGGAATCCATTCAAGAGCTTCAATCCTCCATTAGAAGACAAGCAGACGATGACAATGCTTATGCGGCATCGAGGAAGAAAGTCAACAAGATGGTCAACAAGTACATCAAGAACTTGAAGACCTCCAACCAAAATTCCTCACCGACTTCCCCCATTGGGAAAATCCTGAAAGAAGCTGAGTCAATTGACCTCTCAATTCTCAAGTCTCTATTGGTAGTCTTATCCGGGCAAAAGGATAGACAAAGCAAGAAAAGTTTGTCGACATTGCTTTCGAAGTTCACACAAAGTACCAGCCGTGTACATTCTGAGATCGACCGAGAGAGTGGTGACATGGATCTTTGTTCTTTGAACATTCACAAATCAACGAAGAACGCGGACAACAAAGCCATGTTGATACAGTTAAGAGCATCCGAAACGATCATTCAAGAAATTGAAGAGTGTGTAGAAGCCTTATTTAGAACTTTAGTCAAGACTAGAGTTTCCCTTCTTAATGCTATTAGCCATTAGATCGTTTTAGCTACCCTTGTAATCTTAATGGCAGCCATACATGTCATATGTAAAACATAATTACATAGATAAAATCGATAATGATACCCTCCGCTAAACTTTATCATTTTGTGCATAAAGCCATACATGTCATATCTTTTGCTCTGCTTATATTGCTTGTGAATTATAACTTTTAAGGAGATTAATGTATTTAGCCAAGAAGTTATTTGATACATACAAAGCATCTGTTTCTTGTTTCGTTTACAAATGTAAGCAACGCAGATGCTTTTAAAACTCAAGTCGTAAGCACAAATAAACGAGCTCCTGATCTGATTAGCAATTCTTATAAGTCCTATTTATCAAATCCCTCCATGCACATTTCTATCCCTTTCAACCAAGAGTTAACATTCTCAACGAGCATTTTCTTTTTCCTTGTTTTTTTTCGGACAAGCAAAAGTTCAAGTGAATTGTCGGCATCTAAGTTAGATGATTGATGGCATCAAGTATATAAGAAGTTGGAGATGTTGATTTGTTAAACAAAAGAAGCCTTCCGTCATCATGTATCAAAATAAACGTGATTGTGTGAGAAAGTGAGAAAGACTTGAACTCTTGAGAATTATAAACATATCAATTGGTAATTTGAAATAGGAACAAGGAGATGCACTGAATTGTGTAGATAAATGAACTTTTGATATTATTATAGAATTCACAATTGGACAGAGATTATAGGCATATTCACAAAAACTAGCTCGAAAGCCAAAAGAGATTCAAAGGCTGAGTGCATTAAGGAGAGAGACTCTAGTTTTCACTAAACATGTGAACAAGGCATCCAAGCACTCTTCAATTTCTTGAATGGTCATTTCTGAAGCTTTTAACTGCTTCAACAAGGTACTGTCCACGTTTTTCAGTGACTTGTCGTCGACGTTCAACATATAAAGATCCTCAGCTTCACTTTCTTGCTTCATCTGAGAATCTACTCGTCTCGTTTGAGTCATCTTTGAAAGCACTGCCGACCATCTTTTCTCGCCCAATGACTCCTTTTTCCCGGACAAGACCATCAATGCAGACTTGAGGATTGATAAATCAAGGGACTCTGCTGCTTTTAGCATAGCCCCAATGGGTGAGAGTAATGCTGTGTTTTTGTTTGAGGTCTTCAAGTTCTTCTTGATGCACTTGTTGACCATCTTGTTGATCTTTTTTCTCGACTCCACATAATCACTAACATCATCTGATGTGGTTGTCTCAATTTTGTTCCACCTGAGGGAGGACTCAAGATCTTGTACAGACTCTTTTGTTAGCTGGACAATGTCTCTAGAAACACCACAAAGGTCTACTAGCCTTAGAGATCCCTCGAGCAACTCGTTTTTCCAATTTCGACCTTGTTCACAAGCGAGCTCATGTTGGATAGAAGGCATTTGGATAATGCTATTGATGCTGTCGTGTAAGTCTTTAAGGCTAGCCAAGTTTGCACAGATTAAAGAAGTTGATGTGGCTCATTGATGAGGCTATGTCAAAACTGTTTCCCGACAGAAAAATGAACAGTAGTAGATTGATTGTAATAGACTTGGAGGCTCCTGATCTGGAGACACTGATGAAATAAATAGTAAGGCGCACCCGAGTATATGACTTGGACGTGTTGTGATGTTTGCACTGTATTATGTTCATTAAAAAACACCACGTTTGTGGAAGTCCATATATTTAAATAAAATTAATGGTCGTCAAGATTCCTTATGTTTAAAGATCAAAAGTTCATGAAAATTGCAGACTGATCTTTTTTGAGCCAATTTCAAGCAATATGAAAGTTGAATAATTTAATCCTCATCATCTATGCTGTTCAATGTGGTAGCAACTTTATATGAAACTTTTTTTATCCGTTCTACTCGTCTGGAAAAATCGAGAAACATGGAAAATTTGAGCAATCGCCGCCAAAGTGGCATTTAACTTAATTAGTTCGATGAGTTAAATCCGCCTCACGAGCTCACATTGCTGATTTGGATGGTAGACCTGCTATTTTTTTCTTTAATTTTTTTTAATCACATTTAAAAACTCCAAAGTTTGATTCACCAAATAAGATTGGTTCAAAATTGGTTTCTATTAATTAGTAGTTGTATATGCCAACTCCTTGTCGACATTTTTCGAGACGTGTTGAGGGGATTACACAGCTAAAAAAAAATCCAGACTGAAGAATGAGCTCTTGAATTATGAAAGATAAGTGACTCAAGACTTATATAGCAAAAAGAATTCCAAGAAAGGTTTTCTGCACAAAAGTTTAGTAGAAAACTGATCATATCTTTATACATTTCAATGCTTATATTAACAAAAGTATACAATATGTACGGTTGTGGACTTGTGGTCGATTAGTCAAAATATAGTGGAATCCAAAGTAAGTCTAATGGCTAAGAAGATTAAGAAGAGAAACTCTAGTTCTCACTAAACTTCTAAACAATGCCCCCAGGCACTCTTCAATTTCCTTGATGCTCGTTTCTGATACGATTAACTCCTTCAACATGGTTTTTCTGTCCATGTTTTTTCGTGACTTGTGGATTTTCAAACCGCAAAGTTGCTCGGCTTCACTTTCTTGATCCACCTCAGAACGTACGTGTCTGTCGAGCAAATATCGACACCTTCTCTTGCTTGATGTTTCCTTTTGCCCGGACACAAGGATCAATACAGACTTTAAGATCGATAAATCAAGCGATTCTGCTTCTTTTAGTAGTTTCCCAATCTGTGGGGGTTCTATAAGAGTTTTGTTAGAGCTCTTCAGATTCTTGATGCATTTGTCGACCATCCTGTTGACTTTCTTTCTTGATGCCACATAAGCATTGACACCATCTGCTGCTCGTCTCCTGACAGAGGATTCAAGCTCTTGAACTGATTCCTTAGTTAACACCACAATATCTCTTGAAATACTGCAAACATCGACGAGCTTGAGAGAACCGTTGAGTAGCTCGTTAATCCAACTTTGACCCTGTTCGCGAACGAGGGTCTGCTGGACTGTCGGCATCTGGATCACGTCATTGATGACATCATATAAATCTTTAAGGCCGGCCAAGTTTGCACAGATTGAAGATGTTGACGTGGTTTGTGATGATGCCTTTAGCCTCTCCAACTTATTTTCGATATCATTGAATATGGGATGAGACTGGGATGGGAAACTGTTTGATCGAGAATGTAAGGAAGCCGCCATTTTGGTTAGAAACTCGTCGAGAGATGAATGTGTCGTATTATGTGTTATTCCGAGAGAAGATATTCGATCAAGTGCTTCAAGCCATCTGCTTCGTATCAGCTATATATATAATTGGAATATGTTATAGCTACTATTTCTTGAAATAATTAAGAGATTGCACGATAGCATACCCGCCATGTCCACTCAACCTTCAACATTTGGTATTGAAACAAATCATTCAAATCTGAGTTATATTGATATTGAAACATAAGGAATCTTGACAGCCATGCATTATAGTTAATCCGATTTTGTTTATCTCTGAGGGAATGAATATATATGAGTAATATTGATCGTAGAGCTTGAAACAATACACTACGGTCTGCGGCGGGAGGTCGCACATCTTCAGACATAAGATGAATGATAATAATAGACTGCTTGCATGTGTGCTTTAAATTTAAAAAAATAGAAAAGAAAAAACAAAGAGAGAAATGAGTTTTGTGGCATTCATTGACCTATGATTAGAAAAAAGGTAAAATTACAATTTTAGTCCTCTTAGTTTGATCCAGTGGCCTTTTTATTCCTAACAATTGTACATTTTTGAATGACAAAATTGCAATTTTAGTCATGTTGGTTTAATCCAGTGGCGTTTTTAGTCCTAAGAATTGAACATTTTTGTTATTTGGTCCTATGATTTAAAATTTAACGCAATTTCAATCATTTGGGACTGAAATTACAACAAAATTTAAAATTACAGGACTTAAATTGATAATAAAAGATCTTTTGGATGTATTTTTTATTAGCAATTTAAGTCCTGTAATTTTAATTTTTTTTCGCAATTTCACTCCCAAGGGACTGAAATTGCAGCAAAATACTAAATTACTGGATCAAAAGATAAAAAGTTAAAATCTTGGGACTATAAATTATACAACGTTAAACCAACAGGACTAAAAATGCAATTTTGCCATTTTGCTATTTGGTCCTATGATTTTACATGAAACAATATTTAAAATTACAGGACTTAAATTGCTAATAAAAAATCTTTTGTATGAATTTTCGATTAGCAATTTAAGTAATTTAAATTTTGTTGCAATTTCAGTCCCGAACCATCAAAACACTAAATTACATGATCAAAAGACAAAAAGTTGAAATCTTGGAACTAAAAATGTTAGATTATTAAACCAGCAGGACAAAAAATGCAATTTAAAAAAAAAAAAAAAAAAAAAAAAAAAAAAAAATTGCAAAAAAAACAATCACAATTTCGCATGAAACAAATTAGTGATATATCAAATATTGTTTACCTCCACAACATGGACTACTTTAAATCAGAATTGGGGCTGCAGGTGAGGCACAAATCCAGCAAAAACAATTTTTTTTTTATTTTTTTTTTTATATTTATGTCCACTCGTGTACCACTTCATTTCATTTTCTTCATTGTCTGACTATAGAAAAAGCTCCAGCCTAGGAAAATTAATCTTTTATTCGCACGCCTTCTGCATTTGGTCATGATATATACAGGCTCATTCATGCATTATCTCTGCTTGAAGCTATATATTATAATGTAGCTGAGATCTGCTCAATAGAGTTTTTCGATCTGAATGCCAAAGAATCAGGGGACATGCAACTCGTGCACAACCATTATTTAATATAAATTTACAGAACGGATGATAGAGATTATACGGTGGAATGTATTTCTTCTTTTGCTTTGTTTCTCAATTCTCATTTCTTTATGTATCTGACACATGAACATGAAAAAAATTAGAAAATGTAAAGAACTTGCATTTCCCCCCATAACGCCAAACCTGGTTGCTTCATCTTCTTCGGCCGCGCTGCGCATCCTTGCCTCCGCGGAGCGCGCCTCTGTGCCGCGGAGATGACCGGCTCTTGGGCGATCTCAAGGCTGCTTCCAGTTTTCGGTCTAAACCCGCAGAGCGGCTCCCCCTCCACGGCGGGCAGCCTTCGTAAGGTAGGTCCCTGCTGCTTGATAACGTACGTCCTAAAGTCTGTATTGTTACTCTTGTCCGGGAAAAACGAGACATCGAACGCGAAGAGTTGGTCAACATTGCTTTCAAAGTTCAGGACGCGTGCATTATGATGCCGAGCATGAAAGTCATGGTGAAGATTTGTACTCCCTCCTATTCATCATGATTTATGATAAGTGTCGTTTTGAGAAGTTGCACATTGTTGACGAGCGTTTTCGGTCAACCGTTAAAATGGTAAATGGTGAAAGTGCAAGACTGGAAACAAAGGAAAGATATAGCTTAATTACGATTTTATTAAACGATCACGAGGTCGGCCTCTCGTACGAGGTCGGCACTTGCGATATACTTTCAATCTTTACAAGATAATCCTTACAGTTTTTAGGGAGAGAAAATAGAGAGAAGGCAGTTAGTTGAGATTCAACAACCCAAAATAAATGAAATGAGCTGCTATTTATAGTATCGTTAAATGTGGTACTGTTCGGCTACTGTTCATCGGTCTTGTCGTACAGTAATCTTGCAGAGCAGTTCGGCGTCTCTCTGACATCTATTTAATGCGATTTGAGGTTTCTTCAATCATTGCTTGTCAGGCATTAAATGCCAGCATGGGGGGCATTTAATGCTGATAGACTTTCTTGACTAGGCTTGCTTGTAGGGTGCCAGGCTATGACAACGCGTCCCATCGTCCAGTGATGGCCTTCCAAGCGGGAATATTTTAATGTTTACTGAGCCCAACCCTGGCCTTTGGGGTGGCCGCTGCCGACCTTCAGGTCGGCTCTTTTTCCGAATGTGCTTATACGACATCCCGGATCCTTCCTTCAGCCCAGCACTTATCCACCCCGGCTCGTTCATACACGAGCCGGGGTGCCGGCCTCAGAAAACACTCCCATAGAGATCGTGAGCACTTTGTTTCCCAGTTCAGCTCGGCACTTCTATTTCAGACCGGGTCCTAAGCCCGGGTTTTGATAAGCGATGTCTTCCCGGCCCACTCCTGGCCAACTCGGATATCAACATACAGGCCCCCGAGCTTGGATAGGAGGTCTATCAGCATCTCGTCTGTGGTCGCTATAATGACGTTGCAGTCCCGAGTTTGCCAAATTTCACCTCGGCTTTCTCGATTACCTTTGTCGAATTTGACTTGTGAACTGGTATACTCATGGCGCGAGCTGAAACGATGCCTCCATTAATGCGAGGCGATCGTTGTAATTCTTGTCGGCCTTGAAAAGTCGCGCCGTTTCAGAACCTTTACACGTGGCATGATCTGATTTGTCTACGTGGTACGTCGTGTCGTTTCAGTGGGAGGGGCGGTTACAGAGTGCGTGGGATCCACGCGGTGTGTATAAACCGTCGGATGGCTTCAGTCATGACTGTTCGATTTGAACAGTTGTTTTTCATTAAATTTTTGAATTTCGAACGGTGCCACGCATCTCGCCCCGATTGGTTCAATTATCATATATAAATGTGTCTTCGTCTTCTTTGAGAAGCTTTACCATTTTCGCGATTTTGAGCAAATTCTAGAGCAAAACAGCAAGGAAATTTCCAGATCTCCGCGGAGCTTTCTGCAAGTCGGCACCCAAGGCTTTCTTCTCGGTAATTCTTCTGGTTCTAAATCCCCTTCTTTTTTTTTTCTTTTCAATATGTCGAGCCCTTTGGATTTCTCGGCGAATCGCTCCGGCGAGGACGTCGAGAGGCCGACGGTGGAGGAGACGGGGGAGCTCGTGGTCTATTCTCCCCCGGCGTCGGAGTCGGTGCAACCCATCCGAATCATGCCGATTTTGGCCGTCCGAGTGACTTCCATGACGGCGACGGTGGGCTCGAGCGGTGGGGGGCATCCGGAGTTCCCTACTATTGAGATTGTTGACCTTGGTTCCAACCCTTCCGACAACGAGGAGAAAAATGCAGATATTCACCCCGGGGTTTCTCAGGACGGCTCGGACGTCGACCCAGACTTGGTAGACGAAATCCTTCAGGGTGACACTGAAGGTCGCGAGCGGGTCCCGATGGGTCGGGACGATGCTGAGACTGATGCCGAGACTGATGCCGCCGTCGAGGCTGCGACCACAGCTCCTCCCGGGAGCTGGCACCAGCCTCCGCGTGTCTGGGCGACTCCGTCAACGATGACGGCCTAGAACGCGCCGTCGATCCTAAGCGACGTCGCCCTGGCGCAGATGACAGGTAAGGCGAGCTTCGGTGTCGGGGTCCATATTTTTGCTCCTTATGCCGACGAGCGTATTCACTGCCCTCCGACGGGGTGCATTGGGGTATACCGCCGCAGCATTCTGTTCGGCCTTCGCTTTCCCCTGCCCGGCATCTTTAGTGAGATTCTGGGCGATCTCGGCATCGGGATTAGCCAGCTCGTGCCAACGGCTTTTGCCCAACTGATCAGTTTGATTGTCCTGCTCCCAAAGTAGGGCTGGGCCGACCCTACGAGTGCCGACGTGAGGTCCCTTCTTGTTTTCAAGAAGTCCGGAGATACCGACAACTATTACAACTCGGTTGTGCCTGGGATCGATAGGTCGTTGGTCCACAAAGTCCCGGAGTCCCTCCACGGTTATATGCCGGAGTGGTTCTGGGTATCTGGCGAGGGGCAGGCGCCTGCGGCTGCCCGACACCCATTTACGGGCTTCATTTCGGGCCCCTGTGAGTCCTTTTATTCTTTTCGAACTCCTTCTAATTATGTTTTCTTTCCCTGTGCTAACAAGTCGATCTTTCCATTTCAGACCGTGACCCGCGTGTTGACATTGGCGACGGTCTTTCTGAGAAGGTCAGCACGTTACTGGCACTTGACGAGGACGAGAGGTATTATTGCGACCTTGTCACAGAGGAGTCTCTGCTTACTCACGGGTTGTGCTTCGAGTCTAAGAGCGGCTATTTTACTCTGGTTATGCTCGTTTTTCATTTTGTTATTACTTTATTTCCTGTGCGGCTCCAGTTCTTGAGTCCGGTATTTATATTTTCCTCTTCTTCTTGTAAGTTTATTACCCTCTGCATCGGGTGTGTGGACACCGTTCTGTTAAGGACGCCAATAAGTACGCGCGTGCCAAC